CCAACCATCCAGGGAAGTACATAGAATTGCCGTTGTCCCCATTTTCTGAATAAGAAGAACGAGATGGTTCAAAGAGTTTACATAACTTTCCCCAAGTCACACAGCCAGGCCCACAGATACACAGATGATGTTTGATCCAGTGCTCTTGTCATAAGACCAGGGTGCCTTTCTGACGAATACAGGGTACATTTATCTACAGCAGTATCTAATCTAAATATTTAGAGCAGACGAGCTGCTTTGTTTAGTAGTTTTCAACCAAATTAATGATTTCAAGTCACATAATTTGAAGTTCCTCTGCCCATCCCTTTCACATTTAATTAAGACGGCTTTAGTGTAATTCTGATGTGTTTCCATAGAATAATGACATCTTTACAATTCAAAATTCATCACCGCTCTTAATGTACAACATAACACAGACATCACAATGGAGGCTAAGAAGCATTACTACTTTACAGAAGTTCAAAGGCCAGTGATTACTGACAGCTCAAAGCACAATAAAGCCATGCAACAGAAACAGATACTAGAGATATCACCTCTTGATTTCTATCTTCAAAATTACCTACCTACCCTGTAAACGTAATACGAGTGAAACTCATGTCCTGAATGATGAGATAGTAGACATATTGATCTAGCACATCTACATGTTTGAAAACTAGATGTTCTTGCCAACATGTTTAAATATTACGATGACAAGCTCAAACAAGCTCTTCTAGTCATGAAACCTGCCAACTGCCACAGTGGAGAGCTCAAACACTGAGCTGCCATTTCTTAAAACCAATCTACTGAATATATGTGGCAAATTTTTAATTCACTATATATTTCTCAGGTAAACTAGAAGTATTACTGAACATAGAAGTTGTCAATCTCCATATTCACTATCATCTATTTTAGGTCAGTACAAAAGGCTTTCAAATTATAAATTTGCAAATAAATGGATTGGTGCCTACGAAAAACAAAAGTGGTGATCACTGGTGATGACCTTAAAAGTTCTTAAAATATTACAGGCTATCTGAAAGGATTAATAGACAAGAAGGTATTTTTCAAAGATAATCTCATGAAGATATGACCAAGCAAAGAATTGTACCAACACACTACTCATCAGTATGACACATTTTGTGCTCATGGATGAGGTTAGGCAAAACTTAAGAACTGAATATGTCTACTGTTTCAAGAGAGACACACTAAGCTGGTGAATGCAATATATATATTAATAGTTCAGTCACGAGTCAGACAGCTCTAAAATGTCAGAGTACCAAAAAAGATTTTCCAGTACTAAATTGACTATCTCAAAAGATCACGATTAATGTAAGAAATAATGGGAACAATGGAATGAGTTGTGGAGAACTGACCAAATACATGGCAAGCATATGATAATAAGTTTATCAGAGGACTGTGCCTGAAAAAAGAACATGCATCAACAGCATTGAAAAACCTATTTGAAGATCACTATTATCTTAATAAATGTGATTAAAAGACCAAAATGCTTCCTTATGAAATAACCAAGTAAGAAGGAAACTGCTATAACTCAGGAGTTCTTAACTTGAGATTCATTATGGTGAGGGCTTTGAGGGGTATGTGAGCCCTTTGGAATTTTACGCATATTTGTAGGTGTATTTTTCTACAAGAGGTACCCACAGCATAAATCAGATTTTCATAGGGTCCTCAGATCCAAAAATGTGAGCATCTACTATTTTAAAAGTAGGTTATTATTAATCTATGTACATATATATAACTGGATTTTGGATAAGTAATACACCATAAATTTAAAATTAAGAAAATATTTTTGACTTTTCTAAATTATAAAAATGTTTTTTTAAATGCAAACTGGAGTTATCCTAATTAAAGGAAATGTCAACCACAGCGTGGATATTGATAGAAGGTCCACATGATAAATATTTCAGGGATCCTAGTGCTATGACAAGAGACTTTATTTATTTATTTTGAGACAGAGTCTCACTCTGTCACCCTGGCTGGAGTGCAATGGCACAATCTTGGTTCACTGCAGTTTCTGCCTCCTGGGGTCAAGCGATTCTCCTGCCTCAGCCTCCTGAGTAGCTGGGATTAAAGGTATGTGCCATCATGCCCGGCTAATTTTTGTATTCTTAGTTGAGACGGGGTTTTGCCATGTTGGCCAGGCTGGTCTTGAACTCCTGACCTCAGATGACCCACCTGCCTGGGCCTCCCAAAGTGCTTGGATGACAGGTATGAGCCACCACGCCTGGCCTATTTTATTTATTTTTTGAACAGGCTCTGGTTCTATCGCCCAGGCTGGAGTGCAATGGCACAACCTTGGCTCACTGCAACTTCCACCTCCCAGGCTCAAACCATCCTCCCATTTCAGCCTCCCAAGTAGCTGGGACTACTACAGCCTCCCAAAGTGCTGGGGTTGTGGGTATGAGCTGCCATGCCTAGCCTTGCGAAGTCTAGCCACACTACCACACCCAGCTAATTTTTTTGTATTTTTAGTAGAGATGAGTTTTTGCTATGTTGCCTAGCCTGGTCTTGAACTCCTGGGGTCAAGCAATCCTCCTGCCTTGGCCTCCCAAAGTGCTGGGATTACAGGCATGAACCACCATGTCCAGTCAGTGCTATGATAATAGATTTTAAAATCACCTAAGAAAGAAAGGTTAGATTATTCTGAAAGATTTATTTTCCTTGGATTAAAGAGAGATTAAAAATGGTTATATCAGGACATTTCTCTGGACATATTCATATATTATTCCCCTCTGTTTTTTAAAACAAAAGATGGAAGCACCAGGATAAAAGATAAAATGTTGAAAGAACCAAACAGTTTTTAAACAAAGGTGACAGAAGCATTTTGGAAATGAATGGGTACATTTTGGGTTATTACAATGATTAGGGCTACTCTGGGATATAAGGATGCTGGATGCACAGGACTGATTCTGCACATGTTGGGACAACAAAAAGACTGTTCCATGTCCTGCTTGTCATTCATACTCCCTGCTGGACTATTCACATAAATGAAAAAAACTATCAGTAACTGAGCCGAGAAACTAACCCCACTGTACATATTTTTGCAAAGCATTTTTTTTTTTTTTTTGAGACAGGGTCTCACTTTTTCACCCAGGCTGGAGTGCAGTGAGCACAGCTCACCACAGCCTCGACCTCCTGGGCTCAGGCAATCCTCCTGCCTCAGCCTTCTGAGTAGCTGGGACTACATGTGTGTGCCATCATGTGTGGCTAATTTTTGTATTTTTCGTAGATACTGGGTTTCACAATGTTGCTGGTCTTGAACTCCTGAGTTCAGGCGATCTGCCGGCCTCGACCTCCCAACATGCTAGGGTTGCGGGTGTGAGCTGCTATGCCTAACCTTGTGAAGCATTTTTTTACACAATTTTAATTTCTAAGACTACAAGTACTAGGATCTACTGTGTAAATCGAAGTGAGATTACTTGTTTTTGAAGTTTCCCAGGAAGTGTTCATCATTTTGGAAAATCATGCCACCATTGTCAGCACTGTTCTAGGACTTGAGCTGACAACATAAACCACTTCAATCAGTTTGCACTTGCTGATGCTCCATTCAGGATTACTTCCACACAGCGCAAACCTCCGGCATACTTCATTATGTCTTACTGCATAGTCATATCCAAGCATTATCACTTGAAAAACACAAAAATTTCTTCCATTTATATTCAGTGAGGACACTGTACTGATTTAAAAAGATTCTCTGTATAAAGACCATTAAGGAAAATCCAAATAAATTGTGGTGTTCAGTCAGGAGTACTGTATGAATGCTGGCTTCTTAGCTATGACAAATGTGCTACTGGAATGGAAGATGTTAGAAGTAGGGGTGACAGGGTGAGGGACAATACAGGCAATCCTTGTATTGTCTTTGCAAGTTTTCTGTGAATCTAAAAGTATCCTAATAAAAAGGTTTTTGTTTTTGTCACTGTTGTTTTTTAAGTCTACCTTTAGAGACATATAAAGATTTCAAATTAGGAAAACTGTACCTTCATTTCTGTTACTATCAGTTTTTTGGGTGGTTTTCTTTTTTTTTTTTTTAAAGTCAAGGTCTTGCTCTGTCACCTAGGCTGGAGTGCAGTGGCACAATCATGGCTCACTGGAATCTCAACCTCCTGGACTCAAGTGATCCTCCCACATCAGCCTCACAAGTAGCTGGGACCAAAGGCATACACCACCATGCCTGGATAATTTTTGTATTTTTGTTTGTTTTCCCATGTTGCCCAGCTGTTCTCAAACTCCTAGACCCAGGCACTCCTTCCACCTTGGCCTCCCAAAGTGCTGGGATTACAGGCATGAGCCACCATGCCTGGCCAATAATAGTATATTTCAACTATTAGGTTGAATTGCTGAACTAGACATTTTCCTATGTTAATAATGGTTAAATGTTAGCAGGTTCATACGGTTCATGCCAGAATAGTCTGAGCCTAATTAAAGGGATTGTATTACAAAGTTGAGAATAAATGTACTTTTTATTTTCAGAAATAAAAAATCAGTTTTAATCTACTGCACACATACACCTCCACTCTGCCAAATTCTTTGTATAGTTATATTATCTATGATTTTAATTTGAAGTTAGTAAAGGGAAATGTTACAAAATTATTATTTAAAAATGAGTAAAGAGTCTAAGAGGATTGAAAAATCACTAAAGTAAACAAAGCATTGATAAGCAGAAGAGAGAGATTACAGCGCAGTTTTTCTGAGAAATTTATACCAAATTCCTGTGGAAAAGGATTAAAAGGAAAGAGCAAAGTATCTGTAACCTTTCCTTATAGTCTTATTCTTTTTCCATAGGCCGTTATTCAAGAAACCTCTTTCACTGGTAGATGAACCTCCAAGTAAAAATATGTTGTGAAAGAGGACAGGATAAGGAAAATTTTGGTTTTGCAGGAGGCCTATGCAATTCTTGAACACATTCAGCTTCTGAAAAAAGCATGTTAGGAGCAGAAACCTGACAGCAGTCAAAAAGTTTTCTAAAAAAACCAACTGGCAGGTTTACTGGGGGAAAAAAAACTCACCTGTGCACAAATCTGATGCATCACGTGACCAAACTCATGGAAGTAAGTTCTCACCTCGTCGTGTCTCAGGAGAGAGGGACGACCTGCCACTGGCTGTGAGAAGTTCACCACGAGGGCAGCCACTGCCATCATCCGGCTTCCATCAGGCAGAAGGCAGCCAGGCTGGAGACCAAAGCAGGCCGCATGATTGTATTTTCCTTCCCTAGGAACCAGAAACACGTGTTGACAAGATAGGAAAATTCTCCTCTAGCAACTACATTGGCATGGCCTCTTCCAGTCATTAAGCCCTATCTGTTACCAGAGATGCTTTTAAACATTAATTTACCTTTTAGAAAGTAGGTTATTTTGCCAAAATGGAAAAACTAACGCTAAACAAACAATAACTCCACTATCATTCTGTGTGAACTCCAAAGTTTCTTTTGTTGAAAAATCTCGAGGTGAGAATGAAGAATGCATGTGACACCGACAGCTGACTGTCCAATTTATTTTAATGACGTTCTACTTTTCTTTTTCAAAGATGGGATTATTAAACACTAAACAATGCTGAAACACAAATTTGAAATAAAAGATACAGTTTGACTCACTAGGCAGCCTTTTCATTAAAATCGGAATAAAAAACTGAATTTCAGACAATAAGGTTTTTCCTTTTATTTGAAGAGGAAAGAATCAGTAATCACAATTAAATAAGCTTCTTTTATAAACTAGACAGGCCTTTTTGAAACAGAATGCTTTTAGTTAGCCTGGGAAAATGCATGAATTATACTATCAATTAGTCTGTTCTTACATAGTGTGGCATCCGTGATGGTCTTTCCAAAAGCTATTAGACTTCATTCTCCAAAAGCTATCAGACTTCATTCTGGGAGTAGGTGTCCTTTCCCCCTTTTCTTTTGCTCAGAAGACTAATAGTACCTGTTTTTTTTTTTTTTCTTTGAGACAGAGTCTTGCTCTGTCACCCAGGCTGGAGTGCAGTGGCATGATCTCAGCTCACTGCAACCTTGAACTACTTATTACAGGTGTGCACCACCATGCTGGTTAATTTTATTCTTGTTGTTTTGAGATGGAGTCTCGCTCTGTTGCACAGGCTGGGATGTGGTGGCAAGATCCTGGCTCACTATAACCTTCACCTTCTGGGTTCAAATGATTCTCCTGCCTCAGCCTCTAGAGTAGCTAGGACTACAAGTGCCTGCCACCACGCCCAGCTAATTTTTGTTTTTTTAGTAGAGATGGGGTTTTGCCATGATGGCCAAGCTGGTCTCAAACTCCTGACCTCAGGTGATCCGCCCTCCTTGGCCTCCCAAAGTGCTGGGACTACAGGTGTGAGTCACTGTGCCCAGCCTGATTTTTGTATTTTTAGTAGAGACAGGGTTTCACCATGTTGGCCAAGCTGGTCTTGAATTCCTGGCCTCAGGTGATCCACCCGCCTTGGCCTCCCAAAGTGCTGGGATTACAGCCACTGCACCCAGCCAGTACCTGGTCTTTTTAAAACCTATTCTGAATACCCTTTTTTAAAGTCAGTTAGACAAATAAAACAAGTTAATCCCTTTTACCTTCATGAAGAGAACATCTAAGATGACAGGAAGTAAACATTAACTTTAGGTCACTGCTTTCACAAAGATTACTCTGCCACCCATACCAGGGTGCTGGTAGCAATGACCAGATCTCTGAGTACAAAAGGAATTAATTATATCCTGGCAGGGAGACAGCAGAATGAGGTAGTAGGAATCGTTCTTTGACCCTGGAAAGAAAATCTGAGGACAGTTATAGCAGACTCCAATGTTAAAGGATTACTCCTGAAAGAGTTCTTGGGTTAAAACTATATCCTGACACTTTTTAGTTAAAAGTAAGACTCATCTATATTTGGCAGGGTTTTACTTTTAGGTCATAATATAAGTGAAAGTAAGTTCATAAAGCACCAGGTGATACGGTTTGGCTGTGTCTCCACCCAAAGCTCATCTTGAGCTGTGGTTATCATAATCCTCACGAATCGTGGGAGGGACCCGGTGGGAAGTAATTGATTCACAGGGGCAGTTACTCCCATGCCAATCTCATGATAGTGAGTGAGTTCTCACAAGATCTGATGGTTTTATAAGGGGCTTTCCTCCCTTTGCTTGGCACTTCCCCTTCCTGCTGCCACATGAAGAAGGATGTGCTTGCTTCCCCTTCTGCCATGATTGTAAGTTTCCTGAGGCCTCCCCAGCCCTGCAGAACTGTAAGTCAATTAAACTTCTTTCCTTTATAAATTACCCAGTCTCAGTCAGTTCTTTACAGCATTGTGAGAACGGACTAACACACCGGGATAATCACTTGGGTGCTAAAAGACACTTCTGCCCACCAACTGGATGACACAGTTACTCAACCTACTTTTCAGCACTCAAAGTCAGTGGATTACAAACTTGTATGTATTACTGAATGAGGGGGATACTATCCTCTACTTTGATCTATTTAGTAAAATGATTAGTAATTATAAGACGTTGACTTTGCTTTAGAAAGTAGCCTGGGGAGAAAGAGATCCAAATCCTTTTGTGTCTGATGAAACACTATGGAATCTATAGTTATTACATGCTATAGACACAATTATAACATTTTTTTGTAATTGTTACCACTGATATCTGGGCAAGATGATTTGCATATATAGTCTTTAATGAATAAAATAATCCTGTAAAAGGATTTTCAGTCCCATATTACAGAGGAAGAAACAGAATCTCAAAGAGGTTACGTCACTCGAGCATTCAAACTCAAATCTGACTGACTGCAAAGGTTTTGCTACTTCTACTAAACTGTGCTGCCTCTCAGCCAGACTGAAGGGAGTGGCCATAGATGATTAGCAGACAGATTACCTAATAAACATTCTGGTGCTCAATTTTATTTTATTTATTTATGTTTTTTGAGTTAAGAGTCTTGCTCTGTTGCCCAGGCTGGAGTGTATTGGCGTGATCTTGGTTCCAGGGTTCAAGCTATTCTCATACCCTGGCCTCCCGAGTAGCTGAGACTACAGATGCCTGTTTAATTTTTGTATTTTTAGTAGAGATGGGGTTTCACCATATTGGCCAGGCTGATCTCGAACTCCTGACCTCAAGTGATCTGCCTACCTCAGCCTTCCAAAATGCTGGGATTACAGGTGTGGGCCACCATGCCTGGGTGGTGGTCAATATTAAATTAAGTAAATGTAGTGCACAAACTAGATGATGATGACAATGACAATAGTAGCAGCTAACTTTGATTAAGCCTTCGCTATGTGCTGAGCAGTCTTCTAAATGCTTTGCATGTATTTAACCAATTTAATCCTTACAATGACCATACAAAGCAGGTACTATTAATATTCCCATTTTATAGGACCTATAATATAGGTAAGAAAACTGGGGCATAGAAAAATTAAGTAACTTATCTAGTAAATGATGATGCCAGACATTCTGGCTTCAGACCCACATTTTAAATCTCTATACTAAGAAGCTCACGTGAGAAATATGAAAGAATAGTGTCTGTTTTTTAATTAATTTTTTTAGAGATAGGGTCTAGCTCTGTCACCTAGGCTAGAATGCAGCAGTGTGATAATAGCTCACTATAACCTTAAACTCCTGGACTCAAGTGACCCTCCTGCTTCAGCACAGCTAGGACTACAGGTGTGCACTACCACACCTGGCTAATTTTTAATTATTATTATTATTTTTTTGAGACAGGGTCTCACTCTGTCACCTAGGCTGGAGTGCAGTGTTGCAATCTTGGCTCACTGCAGCCTCCACCTCTGAGGCTCAAGTGATCCTCTCACCTCAGCCTCTCGAGTACCTGGGACTATAGGCATGTACCACCACACCTGCTAATTTTTGTATTTTTTGTAACAACAGAGTTTTGCCATGTTGCCTAGGCTAGTCTTGAAGTCCTAGACTCAAGCAATCCACCTGCCTCGGCCTCCCAAAGTGCTGGGACTACAGGCATGAGCTACCGCACTTGACCTAATTTTTAAATTTTTTGTAGAGACAGGGCCTCACTGTATTGCCCAGGCTGGTCTCAAACTCCCAGCCTTAAGCAATCCTCCCACAGTGTTCGGATTACAGGCATGAGCCACTGTGCCTGGCCAAGAGTAGAGTCTTAAAGTAGGTAGCAGCTGAATCCCTAAGGTCCCTTCCAACAACGTGATCCTCAGTACCTTGGATACAGGTCCAAATAGAACTGTCCCAGTACTTCTCCTGTAGCTTTATCCTTCACAGTATAAAGTGTAACACTCTTGTTCCAAACATGGGCATCTGTCACTTGCTCAAATGAGAGTCCCAACAACTCCTGGTAGGTGTTCAGCAAGCCTTCGGTGACCACCTCAATTGGGAAGTATTCCTTGAGGAACTCTTGGTCTATGGAGTACTTGAGTTCCTCTGTCTGAGTCATGTAGTAATATAGATCCCAGGCATTGATTTTCCCATCATATTCAAAACCCCTGTCTTCACATTCCTTTTTCTTCAAATTCAAAATAAACTCTCGTTCTGCTTCACCCAAGGGTTTTAATTTCTGGCTTAAATCATCTGTGAAGGAAAAGGGAAAAGTTAGTGATCTACTTGCTTTTGGGAGCAAACATACTCATAAATACCACCTGTGTTTTAGCACGGTGCTTCCTCCTTTGCAGTATTCAATACAGAAAAATCAGGGGGAAAGAGGGAAAGGAGGAAAAAAGTGAGGGAGGAAAGCAGGCTCTATTATGGAAGCACACTTTGCTCTTCGGGGTTATTGATTTTATGGTCCTAGCTCCTCTTTTATTTTATTTTTTATTTTTTTGAGACGGAGTCTCGCTCTGTCGCCCAGGCTGGAGTGCAGTGGCCCAATCTCAGCTCACTGCAAGCTCTACTCCCGGGTTCACACCATTCTCCTGCCTCGGCCTCTAGAGTAGCTGGGACTACAGGTGCTCGCCACTACACCTGGCTAGTTTTTTGTATTTTTTTTTTAGTAGAGATGGGGTTTCACTGTGTTAACCAGGATGGTCTCCATCTCCTGACCTCATGATCCACCTGCCTTGGCCTCCCAAAATGCTGGGATTACAGGCATGAGCCACCGTGCCCGGCCACCCCTTTTTCTTTTAACACCACCAGAACTGGGCCATGAGTTCCTCAATTCATCACCAAAGCTCAAGTTTATCTCAGAGAACACTGACTGAAGAATGTTATTCAGGAAGTAAAGCAACAGTGAAGCCAAAGTCATGTACATGATTATTCTTCAATGCAGTTAGTCGGACTCCTAAGAAAGCTAGGAAAAACACATCAGACGTGACCTGTGGTCAATGTTATCTAGAAATTCCTATCAATGGGTTTAGTTTCTCATTACCCCATTTCTATGAAGGTCTATCTGGACACAGCAATTCCAGTTTTTAGCTGGAGAAAGTTCTGAGAACCACAAATTATATTGCTGTGGTCAATTTTTCACTTTACTGCATTTGGCTAAATGAGTATGGTCTTATGTATTTATTTTTTACATTTCTGTTACATATGTTAAGATACAAACGTGCCTGGCTCGGCAGAGGACATGGCAGTTCAGAAGGCAACCCCACAAAGTGAGAGATGGAGGAGCAGCCCGAGGAATACTGTGAAATGAGGAAACTCATGGAGGATACAAAGATACAGTTTTCCATATATGTGTGTGTGTGTGCATGTATGTATACACACGCACACACGTGGACGCGCACGCACACACACACACACATATATACAGAGAGAGAGCGAGCGAGCAAGTGAGAGAGCGAGAGAGTTTTGCTATGTTGCCCAGGCTGGACTCCAACTCCCAGATTCAAGGGATCCTCAAACCTTAGCCTCCCAAGAGGACACTTTGCATAGGAATATGCCAATCTCAAATTAGAAGGAAAACTCCTTTAAATGAATTAAGTTAGTCAGGTGGTTACTAAGGAACATTTTAGTGTATGCAATCACCACTGAAGGAAACATTCTCTACAAACCTGTTAACTCTCTTAGCCATTCTCTTTTATACCACGCATCAAACTGTAGAGTAATTACCTGTTCACACTTCTGTTGTTTCCAGTAAGTGACAAATCCATTGAGAAAAGGACCTTGTCTCTTTTTAAAAAATTATCTTTATTTTCAGAGACAGGGTCTTGCTCTGTCACCCAGGCTGGAGCACAGTGGCGTGATCATGGCTAACTGTAGCCTTGAACTACTGGGCTCAAGGGATCCTCCCACCTCAGCCTCCCAAGTAGCTAGAATTACACAGGCACGTCTCACCGTGCCTGGCTAACTTTTAAATTTTTCTGTAGACACAGGGTTGGGGTCTCTTTGTTTCCCACGCTGGTCTTGGACTCTATGCCTCAAGTAGTCCTTCCACCTTGGCCTCCCAAAGTGCTGGGATTACAGGCATGAGCTGCCACGCCCAGCAAAAAGGACCTTGTTTTATTCCTTTCTGTAATCCTACTATTTAGCATACTGCCTAAGACTGAATAGTTATTTCATAAATGTCTCATGAATGAATGAGTGAATTATACAATAACAAATACGTACCATTTATGGTGTTTAACCTTAATATAGTCATAATAGTTTTTATGTATATTATTTTATATTACAGTTATTAGATAATAGTTTTTATGTATATTATTTTATATCAGTTCTGTATATTAACAAGTGGTTTCTGGAATATTAAATGTTTTTTGTTTATATATGTTCTATTTTTATGTACGTCATATTTGTCAGCTTATTTTATACAAATTCATAAGCAGCCATGCTATGACTACTAAATCCCTAGTGACAACAGTGAATAATACCAGTAACTTTAGTAACTCTCTGTTAGAACCTACATGTCATATTAGGAATTAGTATAAAGAGCCTAAACAAGATATAAGATACAGTGAAGCCAGGCCTAGACAGCAATATAAACAATGAGCAGTCCCTAAAACCAAGCATACTTCTAACACATAATAGGTGATCAATATACTTCTCTCGAATGAATGAAAAGTAGGATGTCCTCAAAGGCATCTTATGTTCTGAGGCCTTCTGTCCTGTTGACATGGTACAGCAAAACAGTCATAGGAAAAAAAAAAAAAACTAACCTAGAAAGGCTGTTACGCGGCTTGTGCTCTTTGCAGTGTTCATTTCAAGGACGAAGTCAGCATGTGTGCTATAACCGAGTAGTTTGGCTACCTTGGCCCGCAGTGGGAGTAGCTGCTGCAAAATTATGGTGTTTTCCTAGTAATAAACAACAGCAACAAAACAAAGGCTAATCAATAATTTGATCCAAAGCACTAAAAGGAAGAATTATTGTATGTATTTTTAGGTTTGTAAAATTGTCAAATATTTTTAGAGCATTTAAACTTCTGTCCCATTTGGTGTTATAGGCTTTTTTTCTTTCTTTTTGGATTCATGAAATAATTTATGACCTTTTAAACCTCAGGAGATAACTATGAGGTCTTAACAAAATTGTAGGCGCTATAAACTTAGAATGAAAATATATTTTTAATGAATATAGCGAATCCGTATTTATTTTTACTGACAGAACTGCACCTAATATTGGTACTTTAAGTTCTTTTGGACATTTTTATTGTGGTAAAAGACACAAAACATAACATTTTTAATTTCATACCCATTCGTATGGCTACTATTTTTAAAAACACAGAAAATGTGCTGGTGAGGAAATGGAGAAATTGGAACCCTTGCGCATTGCTGATGAGAATGTAAAGTAGTTCAGCTGCTGTAGAAAATGGTATGGTGATTCCTAAAAAAATCAAACCATATGATCCAGCAATTCCACATCTCGGTAAATAACACAGAGAATTGAAAGCAGAGACTCGAAGAGAGATCGACACACCCATGTTCACAGCAGCATGATTTATAACAGCCAAAAGATGGAAGCAACCCAAGTGTCCATGGACAGATACACAGGTAAACAAAATGTGGCATACATATACAATGGAATATAACTCTGCCTTCACAAGGAAGGAAATTCTGACACGCTACAACGTGGATGATCCTTTAAGGTATGCTAAGTGAAATAAGTCAGATACAAAAAGACAAATATTTTATTATTCCACTTATATGAAGTTCCTAGAGTAGTGAAATTCACAGAGACACAGAATAGAACAGTAACTGCCAGGGTCTGGGGAAAGGAGGTAGTGGGGAGTTAATGCTTAATGGGTACAGTTTCAGTTAAGGAAGACAAAAAATCTCTGCGGGTGGATGGACGTGATGGCTGCAGAAAAATATAAACATATTCTCAATGTGAATATACTTAATGCCACATGCTATGATCTGAATGTCCCCCAAAATTCACGTGTTGAAACATAATCCCTTTTGTGGTAGTGTTAAAAGGCAGGGCCTTTTGGGAAGTGACTAATGAATTAGTTCCTTATAAAAGGGCTACAGCTAAAGAACTTGGGCCTTTTCTGCCTTCCCCCTTCTGCCATGTGAGGACACAGAAAAAAGGCCCTTTCTAGACACTGAATGCTGGTGCCCCTCGATCTTGAATTTCACATCCTTCAGAACTGTGAAAAATGTGTATAGTGCATAAATTACTTCATCTGTGGTATTTTGTTATAGCAGCACAAATGAACTAAGGCACCATAAAATTCTGCTTTTAAAAATGTTTCAGGGATTTTTCCCAAGTTAACATTACAAATATGTTTTATATTTTATTTGTATTACAAATACAAAAATTGATATTATTTTATTATTTTCTTAACAATGAAATAAAAAATAATTCTCCTAGAGGAAGTAAATAAATGTTAAAGTAAAAGAAAAAACTAACCCCAATAATCAAATCAGCAAATTATTTACAGACTGATTTCTAAGGAAAATCACACACGGCGGTCACACTACCTGCATTCAAAATTTGGTTCCACCATTTACTAGTTACCTGATCTTGGGCAAATTCTGGAGCTTTCTGAGCCTCAGTTTTCTCATTTGTAAGATGTGGAAAATAAAAATACCTACACTGGAGAGTAATCATGAAGATTCAAATGAGAATATATGTAAAGTACTTAGACAAATGCCTGGCACATAACCAAACACTATATAATTATCTGTTATAATTATTATTATTTTAAAACTAAAATGGAAACACAGAATAGAGAAACACACATAACGCAATTCTCCAAGTTCTAAAATTAAATAGTTTAATTAGATTTTCTTTCATTTTTTGGAGTTTCTCCAGATCTTCTCTCTAGACAGCCAATTTTCTCTCAGTATCTGTTCTCTTATTTTTTCTTTTAGTAATAGAACTCTGAAGTTTTTTGTTTTTTTTTTTTTAAGTTTTCACAGAGGTGAGGTCTTGCCATATTGCTCAGGCTGGTCTTGAACTCCTGGCCTCAAGCAGTCCTCTTGCCTTGGCCTCCCAAAGTGTTGGGATTACAAGTGTGAGCCACTGTGCCTGACTGAACTCTGAATGTTTGCTGGACACATGGTTACCTAATTATGTTTCCCAGCCTTCCTCAAAGCCAGTTGTGGCCATGTGATACTCAATGGGACAATGGGATGTGAATGAAGTGATAAGTGAAATTTCTGGGTCATGTCTGATAGATCTTTGCCGCAGGCTGTGAACTGAAAATGACAAAAATGACCCTGAAAGCCACATACTGAGGATGGTAGAGCTGTCTTCCACCTCTGGACCACTCACCTCTTGACTTACAGTTACAAGACAAATCTCTTTTTTTTTCAAAATAGTTGTGAAATCTGCCATTTTAGCTATGTAAAATTCAACGGCAATAGTACTCATTCTGTTGTGCAACCACTACCATGATCTGTTTCTAAAACTCTTCCATTACCCCAAACAGAAACTCTGTAACCATTAACTCCCCAGTCTTCCCTCTCCCCATTCCCTGGTAACCTCTAATCTACTTTCTGGAAAGATAAAACTTTTATCTTATTTGAGTTACTGTGCTTTTGACTTCTGTCAAGTCCCTTAGCCTGGACCCTGACATATGTAGAGATGAATACCAGAAATCAGTTGCTACTAACAATAAAAATGAAAAATGTACAGGAATGGAAGGTAAGGACCCAGACACTGCAGGTTGGGAAGCAGGTTCTCATTATACCATGGGCATTTGTGAAAACTGTTGCTTGCCATAACTCAGAAGGCAGGCCACGTACCTACAGAGTCTTAGTCTAGAGAAATTGTTTGGGAAAACTAATACTGTTGGGAGGTGTTTTTTTGGCATTTGTTGCTTTTTGAAAGATTACATGGGAGAGATGAACTTGGGTGAGAATTGGCCAGTTTCTAAAGATGGAAGGAAAAGAATTCTGCTCAGGGAGGTTCTGCCTATGGCCTACAATCTTCAGATGGCTTGAAAAGGCCATGCTTGTATTCTTAGTGTCAGGAGAAAGGCTGTCACTCAGAGTTATCTGAACTGCAGACATGACTTTGAGAATGCTCGCCTTCCTCCACAAAGCTCACTATGTTCCAGAGGGCCTGAAAACAGACTTCACTAAATGGATAATGATGGAAAATGGATAATTCAGGAGACCAGTATATTAAGATTTGGCAAGTTGGCGGCCGCGGTGGCTCACGCTGGTATATCCAGCACTTTGGGAGCGAGGCGGCGATCCAAGGTCAGGAGATCGAGGACCGAATGGTGAAACCCCGTCTCTACTACAATACAAAAGAGGCCTGGGCCGTGGCGGCGCCTTGTATTCCGCTATTCAGAGGCTGAGGCAGGGAGACATGGCGGTGGGACCCGGAGGCGGCTTGCAGTTGGAGCCAGGATCGCGCCACTGGCACTCCCAGCTTTGGCCGACACGAGCGGACTAACGTCTAAAAAAAAAAAAAAAAAAAAAAAAAAGCTTTGGCAAGTTAGACGATGACCAAAGTGATTATTTGGGTAATAGGTTAATTTGACATGACATACTGATTAGAGCGGCAACCAAGAGCAGACACCTACGTTTTTGAGGAGGTGTTATTCCAAATATCTGAGTCTGGCTTACAAAAGTTTGTGATATTATCCCTAAAGCACCCTTGGGATTCTACCCTGACATTAGCGGAACCAGCAGTCCACTGCACAGATATGTCATCAGGTAATGCAAAACATTTTCTGGTGGGCAAAACTTGGGGCCTGGTTACATTGGATAAAGAATTCTTGTGAGAAAGGTAGGATCAAGTTTGGGCCCCAACAGCTAACAGGAAACTTCAACCAGTAGGAATCTTCACAATTCCTGAGGGTTGAAGTGTTTGGAAATTGGTATGGAGCTCGTTATGTTTCCCCAGCTTTTCTTTCCAATGGGGGACTTTTTAGTGGGTTATTTTTTTTCCGTATGGTCACTGGGTGTTGGAGTGTGGGGGTGAGGAGCTGATAATTGTCTTTCCTTCATACGTTTGTGGATAGGAGGCTCAACAGGGAGGACTTGTACCCCACCCAGAGATCCTGGTATTGAGCTTCAGGCAGTAATGGGATTAACAATGGGGTGAATGGGTCCTATGTAGGAAAAAAGGTCCTCAATGGTTACTTGGAGTGCTAGAGAGGCGTCATGGTGAACGTAGATGACCGAGATCCGTCTACTTCTTCTTTTTGGTATTTTTTGATATTAACCAGGACTTATCAGTGCTGGTATTGCTGATTTAGGAGAGAAGCAACTTCTCATTTGTTTTACAACCCATTCTTTTTTATTAAATGCTTTCGCTGTGACCAGACACCAAGCGTCTTGGTAATGGGGGGCAATGAAAAGCTAAAAGTCTTGGTAAGGTCTGAGGATTAGAGATACAGTTGCACACACACCAGGAATTAGGCAGTCTCTGGAGCTGACTTTGACATTGGGAACAAGTACCCTTTTCTTAAAATATTCCATTAAAACAAAAGAAAGACAAACATTTATAATACCTCTTTGCACCTTGTATTAAAAGCCATTTCCATCCTTCTTCTGGTTTCAGGGATACAACATTTCTTCATGACAGGGAAATAGTGTGGATATTTTAAGGTAATTTTATACTTGTCATCATCTGTCTTTTCTAAACTATCAATGAAATCATCAGGAAGAGCACCTGCAAAAAATCATTTTCTCATATATCAAATTTTCCACTCATTGCTGGTTTATTTAGCATTGGCATGGTGCCTTTTAGTAGCTCTAGGAATTTTGTGGAGTAACTGAAATTCAAGTAAAATAATGACAATCCTTTAAATATCATTTTGATGTTGCTGGAATGGTGGTAGCTGTTAGAAGCCAGGTGCCTTGGGAGAT